CTTGTAAAATTGTTTCATTGTGTTTGGCAAGGTCTGTAGTATTGTGTACAGATAAACTGTAATAAGCTTTATGTATTTAAGTGTGAATATCAGACTCAACAGAAAGAGTCTCAAGTATTTCCTTAGGTAACTCTGCAATTTGAAGAAAGAAAAGCCACTATGGGTTCCAAATTGGAGTACGTAGGTGAGAACGGAAAGATGACATTCTTCAAAGAGCAAACAGAACATGTTGGAGTACAGAAATGTCAAAAATATTTTTTTTTACTTCTTTCATTTCTTTTCAAGTTCATAACTTTATTAAAAGTATTTCCCCTATGTGGAAATATTTTGACAATTTTTGATTGTAAACTTAAATCACTTGAAGTACTAAACCGTATTCACGAGATTAGCTTTCTAGATTCAGTGTTTGAACTGCAAGTCAATATTCTAATTTATTATGGAGATAGCTTACATTTTTCCAAGCAAATTACATAATTAATCAAACTGAAAAGGAGGTGTATCCTATTGTAAAAATATCCATCATATAGAACAATTTCCATTGCTGTCAAGTCCTTTCAATATTTGATGAAGTAATTTTACCCCCTCTTTTCAAAAGACATTTCCTTTTATTATGTATCCTAAGACACTTTAACTAAAAACCCAAATCTGAATATTTCAATAAGGTTGTTTTATTATTCAGTAGATTCATGGAAATTTTACTAGGATGACAGAAAAAATTCCACACCATTCTGTCTCCACTAATACAGGTACATGGCTTCAGCTGGCAATATTACTGGGATTAGCATAGAATGATGAAATATTTAAAGGATTTTTTTTTTCTAAAATCTAATAAATCAAATGACTGCCAAATGTCATTAAAGTGATGGTCTCTGACTTGAATATGCTTTTCATATTCAAATTTGAAAAGAAAGAGATGAAAGCCTGGAAAGGTTACTCAGTTTCAACTAATAACCTCAAGCACTCTACATTCACATGCATAAAAAATGAAATTGGCTCTATTGTCTAATTTTACTTCAGAAACAACTCTTTTCTTCTTGCACTGAACAGATGTATTAGCATCTGTACTTAAAGGGATATGCTGAGTGGTTTTGTTCACCCCAAAGTATTTAGCAGTTATGTCAGACTAGTTTGTACACAGACAGCAGCTTATGAATCAAGTCCAAATACAATATCCTGTATTATAAATATCCCTTTTACATATTTTAAAATTTGTTTGACATATTTAACACTTGTAATTGCATACAGTAGGCAAAGAATATTACACTTTTTCAAGGCTAATGGGGTAAATCCAGGTATTCCGCTTTCTAACTTATAAGGAAGCAAATGACTGAGCCATACTATTAGAAAATTGCAAGAAAAACAATAAATTAATTTGGAGCTTAACAGTCAAGACTATTTTGAGTTTTACTAATGTTAAATGTGAATAAAGCATATAGAAAGGAGAACACAGGCTGATTAAAAAATGTATTTACAAATAAAAAATATAGAACTGCTTAAGAACAGCATAGCTAGCATGTCATATTTCACCACTAATATAAAACCATATTATGTAGCCATGCTGAAAATACATATAGCATCCAACATATGATAGGAACTAATTTTTAAACCATATATTTTTTTGTGATGTAGAGTGAAATATGTTCTTTAAATCTTTTCGTAAGTTTTTTTCAAGCCTTGGTCTCATTTATTAGGTACTATTCAAGTAACAATGGAGAGTTTGTCAATTACTGCCCATAAATCATTCTACTTTAATGGGAATAAAATTAGTCTTTACATTTAGAATTTAAAACAAGATATAATACAAAATTTCCTCTAAGAGAGAGAATGGGCACATATTAAAATAAAGACTATTAAATGCTTTCAAGGAATCTGAGAAACTGGCTCAGTGCTTTCATTTCAGGTGAGGAAAACAAAACATGGGCAAGATACTTAGTCTATGTCAGAATTCTTTCTCTACCATTTAATAGCAATTCTGTAATTAATGCTACCCAGAGATTTGAAAGAATCACTGAACTCCAACAAGCTTCAGGATTTGGGTAAGTACTAAATGCATTGGACATTTCGTACAAAATTTATGTTGCAACTTTTCTCATCTTTCTGAGATTAAAAAACCCTTTCATTAATTCCACAGTCAGTCCTGACTGCCACCTTCAAGAAGCTGCATATTCCATATTTTGATTTCCTTTTGGGTCACACTAAAAGGCTATGACTTTGAAGTGAACAATAAAATTCCAACTGACTCAAATGGTACACAGTAGTATCTCACAGAAATAAGTGCTTTCTGCACAGAACAGCAGAGCTGAAAATACCTTTCTTATAGGAACAATGTTCCTATTTTTTACATCCACAGTTTTAACTAATATATGGCCCTTGAAAACCTCAAAATAAAGGGAACTTCTAAATTGTAAGACCAACTTGAATCCTATCTTGAAAAATGCTCAAAAATATGTACACTTTACTCCTTAAAAATTTATATATTTATTTCCACTTATTTTCTTCTATTTCAGGCAGAAAGCATGTAAAATAAACTACAAGGTATTCTCTAACAACCACAATTAATCATCCATTTACTATCAATACTTCAATCATTACCAATATTACTTGATTGACAAATGTATTTATTCAGTGACAAGTCATCCTCTTCCTCTATGAAGCGCTAAATTCTTGTGATCATCTTATTAACAATGTCAGAACAGAGCCACAAAGGAATGCTATCACAGGAATGTCAATGTAACTCAACTGTTCAGAGACACAAACATTACTCATTAAGTAATTATGATTAACAGGAACACAGAATCACATACACATAAAAACACATATTACAAAAAATTATTCTAGTCCTGTGTGCAGTGACTTTTCACATTAGGAACAGCATCTTCTACTTTTACCTTTTCCCCACAACGGTGTAGATGTGAGAACAGAAAGAGGGATGTGGAAATGCTCCCTGTTCCTTCTCCAACTGGATGGGACTTCCTATAGCGCATGCACTTCAGACTCTCCCTAAGACCTGGGGCAAAGAGATGTCTCCTTGTCACACAGCTCTTCTGGAGATGAATCTACAGTGAAGGAGGGAAAGGCACATGTAATGTTCCCCTGCACACTGTTTTGCCATGTGCCAGGAGGAGAACACAATTGTCCAAGGTCAGCACCATAATAAGGTTTGATGCAACCCCCTCAGCTCTGTCTAGAGTTAAGAACACGCTGAATTAAAAAAATCTATTTATGACAATGTATACAACTCTGGTTGCTGCCATTTTATCCAGCACAGAGCCCAAATTCCTCATTTTTTGAGTGCATCTGTAGTGGAAGAAATATATCAAACTGTACATTTTTAATATAACTATTCTTTTTATCTGAGGTTTTATTATTTAATATTTGATAATGTATCCCCCCTGTCATCACAGCATTGTGTAGGGACCACATAGACATTCAAAAACTAATAGATTTTGATTCTCAGAATACCCAGTGTGAAAAAATTACGCTTGTTAATACAGATAACACAACCAATCAAAATTAAAATTTAGTTTCAAATGCTATCTTTTGATTTTTAGACATCCTTTCTACTTTAAAGTCACCAAAACCAACTTCCATGTCGATAGGCTCTGATAAACAGTATCTCCAGCAAGCAACTGAGGGGCATTCTTATTCATAACCACAAAAAAATTACCAGCAGGGTTAAAAATGACTCTTGTTGATGCTTTTCCCATGGGCCCATGTATTCAGCCTCAAATCTGACTTTCTACTTAATTTCATATTCTAACTTATCAGTATTTGTTACCTAAAAAATAATGGGCTACCTAATGACTTAAGATTTGGTAGTTTTCAATAATTTTAAAAGCTGATGTTTGGGTTTTTTGGTATTACTTCACCCTCTTATTCCATTTCTTCCATCATGAAGAATGACTTTCAGTACATGCTTCCAATTACAACTTCAAAGTATATTTGACAGGGGGTAGATGGAAGTTGTAAATCCATCATTTCAGCATAGTGCCTACTCAAACTTCAGTCATCTCAAACTTTATCATGGCAAAAGACTTAGGTATTGTCTGGATTCTTTAAACTTTCTCTCTTTTACTTTAATTCCTGGACTACAGTGACCATAACACAAACAATCACCTCAGTGATGGAGAATGGCAAATGCTCCTTTGTAATCTTAGACCCACTGGTACTCTTTGAAAGTACTAACTATAAAGTTTTAATAAGTTGTATCTTATTGTGATAAGATGGTTCTGTTTCATGAATTTTATTTCTTGTTTTATTAAATATGCTGGTGCAGCACTTTTACTTCCCCAAGTTCTTACAGAAGAAAAGCACAAAGTTCTAGACAGGACTAGGAGGATACAAAGGATTAGTATTTCTGGCACAGCATAATCAAGCCAACTCAGTAACACAAGGTAATACTAAACCCCTAAAATTTTAATTCTCTAAATTCTGACTAGATATTCACAAAATAAGCCAGTCTGAGGAAAACACTGAACACTCAAAAGTCTCCCTGAAGTACACCAAAGGCAATCAAGTCCTGCAGAAAATTAGTGTAAAGAGAAATCAAGTCAGCCAAAATTTAAAACTGCAATACAATGTCCAAACAATTTTCCTTTTTTCAGTGAATACAGATATCACATAGGAGGAAATGTACTAGTCAAGCAGTTTTACAAAAAAAAGCATAATAAGAAGTACCTATTGCTTTGGTGTATATAGATTTTATGCTTTACATTTTCTCACATTTGCACAAACATGCTTCATTCACCAGGAGAACCATGAGCAATTGGTATTGCTTTTTAATGGTGTTTATGAGGGATTTTCATGTCAAAACTAATTAGAACTTGAGATCTTAATTTACAGGTACAGGTAAATGACAGATATCAAAAAACTGCTAGTAGAGCAAGAGAATGCACTCACAGTATCTGCAACAAAAAAGAGACACCTATAGAAAAAACCAGAACTGGCACTGAATAAATTGGTTTTGCCAGTAATTAGCTTATGGCACATTTTAAGACAACTTGGAAGCTGACAGCAGTAAATTTTATTGTGATAACTGAAAGCTGTATAATCTCCTGTAATGATACAGTGTAGACATGGGGGTGAAAGGGAGGAGGGGTTGGAAAAGACTTTTTTTTTTTTAATATAAAGACCATGCCAAAGAAAATGCAAATTCCCAGTTTTGATGTCTATTTTGAGGATCTGAAACAAGGCTTTTAATCAATGTATTATACATCAAATTGATAATGTTAACTTCTGATTATTCAAATGTATGAAATATTCATAGAGAACTGTCCAAACTTTTACATTTCTCAGACTTCTTTTCTCTATTAATTATCATGCCTGGAAGCTTTTTAGTAAAAGCAGCAGCCATCAGCCTGACTGAACCTGACAAGCTAGCAAGGCCCAATTACACTGGCACTCTGTGGCACTTTGATGTACTGGAAACGAAAAGAGATAGGGGCAAATTGTATAGCACATTATGTTAATGACTTGATTTAATCCAGCCACTAAACTTTATGTAGCCTGTTAAAAAAGATGCTAACACTAATTATGCCACTTTGGAAAGGAAAGAAGGGGACAAGCATTTCATACCGACAAAGTGAAGCTCATAAATGTTGTAAATGAAATGAAACAAAATGAAGTAATCTATGATTAATCATACATCATAGACAAGAAGAAAAGAGAAAGAAGCAAGTGGTACAGCTAAGTACTGGAAAATCTGTTAGATACCCTTTATGATCAACATATCTAAGAAATAACCATGAACTGTCTAATTTGCAACATGCAAAAAACCCCCAGTATGATCTTAAATGGCTTAAACAGTTTGGCATACAACTCAGATTTATAGGATAATTAGCATAACGATCTCTAAAAATCACAAGTCTTATTTACAGTGTTTGATTACCAGCAGGATATTTATCTCAAAAGATAAAAGGCAGTGATTTTTAATCTTGAAAAAATACAAATTCAATAACAATTTTGACATGCTGTATTCTATAATTAACCCACGAATTCAAATAAACCAAGGCATATTTTTAAAATCCAATTTGTATCAAACATGTTGTCTTAATAGTTTATAGCTTTTATTGTTTTATCTACCCTTTGTGAACATACACTTTGTTACCAGAGGAGGAGATCAATGCAGAGAGGTAGAAATTGATGAACCTGAAATGAATCTACACACAAAAATCTCTCACAAGTGTTCTTAAATAACTGTCATAAAATAAAATACAGGATGACTACAGAAGTATAGAACAAGTGTATTATGGTTTGACTTACTAGTGACGAGCAGCAGTCATTTTAGTTCTCAAAATTACAGGTGAAAATTTTTTAAACAATGCAATTCTTTCTTCCAAAGTACCTTTTGTATCTCTCTGACGAATATACAGGTGATAGCATTACTGAATCCCTTCTACGGCTTAAAAAAGAAGGAGCAATATTTCCCACACAAAGAGTTGCTTCTTCTTGTTAGTTGCTTTGTAAGATGTCTCACGCCTTGGAAAAAAAATTTAAAAAAATCAAACTACCTCTAGGATATCACATTGCAGAGCATTAAAAACCGTGAAGACTGATAGGATCTAACAGTACACCTCTGGTCTCTGAAAAGAAGGCTAAGACAGATGAGAAAAGTATTAACTGTTAGAGGTACTATCATCAATTTTAAGTACTGGTTTTGTATTTTTTAAGACAGTTCAGTCAATGTTAGATCTAAAAGTATGAAATACCTTATTTTATTTATTTTTTTTTAGAGAACTATCCTATGGAAATATTGTTCAAAGTAAATTTTCCAAATTTGTATTATGCTATTTTGTATATATGACTTCATGCTAATTAACTGCTGGTTTTAAGAGTAAGGAGACATCATTAGTGAACAAACAGTGATAGAAAAAGAAGCACAACTGAAGTGACTGGAGACTGTGCATGTACAACTTTATTGAAAAGTGATGTATATAGCAAAGCTACTGTTAGAGGACATTAAGCTTAAAATCTTTTTCTGTCTTGACAAATAATTGCCATGATCACTGACTCAGCTGTTTAATAATCATGGATACTGGACTTGAAATAATACCATCATTGCTGTCAGTTTTTATTGATTCAACAGCATCCTCATCTTGTCTAGCATCTTGATCTGAAAAAGAAACATTAAAAGAATCAATGTAGTCAATCCCCCCCGTATTGTTGTCCACCTGAGACTTGCTGAGGAACCTGATAACAAATATATTTGCTTTTCTAATAAATGAAGAATAAGTGCTAGGTAAATCTTATCTTCCTGCAGAAGATTAACACTGCAAATCAATGACCTTTTGAGTCATCTAAACTGTATTTGTTTTTGTTAAAAAAAAAAAAAAAAAAAGTGTTTCCCAGATGAAAGTTAAGGATTGGAATGATTTAAGTCCTGTGATGAGCTGAGGTATGAACAACTCTTAGTTTTACATAAGAGCATGGCCTGAATTTGTGGATTTCCTCTGATTAACACCATGCACACGTAGAGAAGAATGTATCATTTTTTTTAATAAAAAAGTAGTTCTGTATGCAGGTGGATTATTTTCTAGAGCTATCAGTGTTTTTTCTCTAAAGCAAATTACTTATAAGCACAACAGGGATTCAGCATCATGTTTTTCCAGTTTTTCTAATGAATCCTTATGCAGAAGCTGCAAACAACTGAACATACAATTTTAGCTTGTGCATTTACTTGGTATTGTGGACTTGGTTTATTTCAATGATAAACAGTTTAAGCTCAGAGGTGGAACAGGATGACCCAGCTTTTATAATCTTTAAATAAATCTGCCTCTAACAACTTTATGTCACAAATACGATAAGACACACTACCCCTCTCATTGTCTGAAAGGATTTCTGATATCAGCATTGGCTGTTATCTGCAGACAAAAGGAGCATATTCATTAAAATAGTCTTTAGAACAGCATAGTTCTAAGGGAGAATATAAAGACATTTAAAATAGAAGCCAGGTTTCCTTTAATATTTTATGAATCTAGGTCAGATACCAGATTTTTGCATTCAATTACAATACAGTTTCCATTTGGGAAGAAAATAACACCACCATATCCACCACCCAGCTTCAGCTATAAAGTACACTAGAATATAATTTCTGTCATGAAGCTTCTCATAATGAGGCAGCTCCCACTGCTAGTAAGAAATGCTTAAGAAAATGGAAAGAGACATATATTTATTAAGAAAATACAGTTACTTATTCATAAAAATGAATTCTACCTTCTGGTTCCAATTCTTCAGTTATTTTTGTCTCGTCTCCAGAAGTAATTGATGTTTGGTCAGCTAACTGCTCCTCCGACAGATGTGAGAGCTCTTCTTTCTCCTGTTGAATTTCTTCAGCCATCTCCTCCACCTTATCATCTGCTAGCCTTTCTTGTTTAACCTCCTGTGCCACATGCCACATAAAAAGATAAACTTACAGTCTTTATAACATCCCTTCAATAGTAAAAGTTACTGAAGTTCAGAACTTGAAGAGTTATGGCCCACATTCATTATACATAGCCTTTAAACAATGGTATTGCTTATGCAGCACAGGAAACAATGAGAAGTTGTCAACTGCAGTAACAAATAATTGATACAGTAAAAAGAAAGTCTCTAACGATGTGTATTTGTGAAAACATAACTATTATAATCATTTGGTACCTGTCAACATATATACAGCCTCTTAGATTTCCAGATTCATTTATATTTCAGCTCTTTCACTTCTACAAGACTCAGTTAAAAAACAAAACAAAACAAAACCCAAACAAACCCACTCCACCAGCACATTACTCAGTTAGCAATTTCATAACTTAAATTATACAGTATTTTCTGTTTCCAAAGCAAACTAATATCATATTAAAAAGAATCAGCCTTGCTACAACAGTACAAACATGCTATCTAGGGTAAAATAGCTTTTGTGCATAACTTACTCTAAAGTAATCTTATTATCTTCTTTACCTTTGAGTTCATTTACATTATCATAGCTCATCAATGGATACACCTTACAGGGTTATGTCCAGGATGGAAACTTAAGATGACTGAATTCAGTCATCTTAAATCCCAGAAAAGTGAAGCCCATTGAGTTCTCCTGGACTGTAGGAGCTGTGTTTGGTCACCTCCCCCTGCCTGGGATGCCTCTCAAGGCTCACAAACCCTCAAATCTGAGATACTTGACATCACTGACAACGAGGCCTGGGCTGATACCTTCCCCCCCTCCATCTTCACATTCATCAAGGTGCAACCCTTGCTTGTTAGGAAACACAAAGGGAATTATGTGATTAATTCACTGAACCCGTGGTAGGTACCTTTTACGTTGATAGGTATCTGTACACACACAGAAATAGCTGCACACATCACTTCGCCTGTGTTCACGTGAATTGATTAAAGTATGAATGCTACTCTGTCACATCTATGGTTAAGTCACTGTTTATAACTGTAGTGAGCCCTATGGAATCACTTTGTAAATGTTAAAATACTCAGTGTTTAAATGGTGCTAAACTTTCTTGCCCTCTTATCTTTGCATCCATACCTTGGCACCCTTATCCCCATTTGCATTCCTGGCTTCAGTGTAAATCATTCCAAATTGCCTCTAATTTGATCTTCCTTTGAATGTTTTAACTTGTGTAGTAAGTAATAGAGTGAGCCTTGCCATCAAACTCTGTAAAGCTGTATTTTCACAAATTCATATTAAATCCTGCTTTTGCCAAAACCTTTGACAGTGTTTCTTTAAGTGGCCAAACCACATGTTCACAATACATGTCTAGCTATATTCCAAAGTTATCCCATTTCCTCATCATTTCCCTCTGCTATACAATGGTAATTTATAGATGGAGGGCAAAATGAACTCCATCCAAACAATAAAAGCTCAAGAAGAGACTGGATAACGCTCTCAGACTCATGGGGTGTCTTGCATAGGGTCAGGAGTTGGGTCCCTTCCAGCTCAGGATATTCTATGATTCTATACTGTATGGGTGACCATGCACTGCAACAGGTTGCCCAGAGAGGCTGTGGAGTCTCCCTCACTGAAAATATTCCAGAACTGTCTGGACACAATCCTGTGCCATGTGCTCTAGGATGACCCTGTTTGAGCGGGGAGGTTGGACCAGATGATCCCAGTGTTGTCCCTTCCAACCCAAACCATTCTGTGATTCCGTGAATATTTCTGCAATAGCCTTTAGGGAATAGAAGTGACAGGAGGGTCCTGCCATTCAGTTTTCACACACAGCTACACTATTTTTCATGAAGACCCACTCAAACTCTCCTTTTTTTTTCCCCCATAATAGTATCAGCACTGATCAGAGCACACTTGGATCGGGGTTGGTGCTGCATGCTGGGTGCTGCTTAGCTTGCTTCCCCTAATCGCCACTGGTTTTCCTTGTACTTAAAAAGTGAATAAACAGTAAATATTACCCAACAGATGAAGAATAAATACAGCTGAAATTATACGAGCCTCATTCGGCATATAATCTGTACTGAGTCAGTTTTTGTACTTAACAGTTAGACACAACTTTAGTGTATTGTACAAATGTACATTTAAAAGGAAGCACTGAGATCACCACCAACAGAAACTATTGGCCAATTTTCTGGGTAATATTCCTGAACTCCAATATGACCTCACATTTTGAGAAAATAGTGGTTTTTTTTCAGAAATATACCTGTTTCTACTTTGATCTTGTCAAGGATTTCATTGTCCGCTATATCAGACGTGATAGCTGTCTCTAGTTTAGCAATTTGCAGTTTCAGCTGCTGTTCCTTTGATTTCCACTGCCATTCATGGGTCATACAGAAGACACTCCAATAAAACATATGGCATGTGAAAAACTTTCAGAAATCAGCTTCAACAGAAAATAATAAAGAAAAAAGCTTTTAGTGGCACAGAGACCACTGTCATCATGTCTTAGGAATTAAGTAAACACATGCTGGTCTGCTGCTGTTGAAACCAAGGCGCCTTTCTCAGGCTGCGGTTAAAAAACATGAAAGAGTTTGTGGGATGAGCAAAGGAACTGGCCTTAATTTAGAGCTCCAAAGTCAAAAAGTTGGCAGCATGCAACATTTGTGGGACTAGAAAAGGAATTCAGATGCATATCCCAGAGTAATCCACAACTCCAAACCTCAGCAACTGACAACTAACAAAACCAGTCTTTCCACATACAAAACCTCTTAATGTAGAGAACTGGGATCATCCACCTGATTTCTTTTAAATCTGTGAAACATGCAGAGCCTAAAGTCAGTTGCCTGTTCAAAGAAATGTTGACCACAAAGTGACAACAGTTTTCTCATACTGTAAAACAACAATCCTGATACTGATTAAGAAGCACATTTAAAGTAATCTTTCTCCTACTTTAAGAAATAAAAAACAGAGGTAGGCAAAGAAATTAGAATAACTATTTTGCCTGTAACACATTATTTACTTGTAAACTACCAATCTATGTGCAATAAGGGTTGCATGGACAAAGAATTAGAACTGCTGAAACCACAACAAAATGCGTAACTCAGATTGAAACAAATTAGGTTATATAATTTACGGTATAATTCCCCGTAGGCAAAAAGAAAAAGCAACGCAAAATGAGCTTTCATATAAATTAGACAGTGAGTGCTATAGCCTTCATATTATTATTGCTCTATACTTGCATTTTTGTTTATTGGAAAAATGTCCATCTTAATCAAGCACAAAACAGTTTATTCACTTTTGTATTGTGTGAAAAATCAGAAATTGTAGGTTTCTTTAAAAAAACAGAAATCAGCTCCTCAGCTCTTCACTTTGGTGAAGCTTATCAGTTAACAAACATTATATTTTACATATATAAATGTATTAAAAATTTTCTGACACATGCACTTAAGCAATGATTCTAATTCCTGTGGTAATATATGCTTCACTCTCCTTATATTTTGAAGATAATATTTAGGGAATAGAATGTACTGAACCCACCATCACTCCACAGAACTGCACAGGAACAGGAAACACAGTGTGTTCTCCAATTGCCTAAAGTTTGCTTGGCTCCCATAAAGGAGGCACAAATCTCATCAAAAAAAGAAATATCATCAGTTTTCACACTTCCGAAAACGTTTTCAAGTTTCAATACCTAGTTATATGTGCATTCATCAGCTTCAGGTACAAATACTTCACATAAAGGTGCAGCTATATGCTTCAGTTTTTCAGAAGACCATGGCAGAAAAATCATTAAGAGTTACCATGATGGTAGTTCAGAATGTAGATGTTTAAATGAAGAACATTTTAGATGACAGGTTTTATCCGAGCCTATATAATGCTAATGTTTATGTCAGTTTGAATTGAGTCCTCTTGTGTTGCTTTCTTCCTTTGAATTTTAAGATTACTTTTACTTGAATTCATGTGGAATTTCTTTCATATTTACTGTATTTCACTGGAGTTGGAGCCATCTGTGTAACTATAATGGTCAACCACATCTGGCACCATTTCCTTTGGAGGGAGTTTAAGCATTGCTAGATTTGCATTACAAGGTCATATGAAAACAATTCCTCCAAACCTTTTATCCAAACGAATTGTTTTCTTGGATACTGACTAAATAATAAGAGTCAACTGACAAATTCATACTTGTTCTTCGCAAAATTTTCAGATCCAGTTCTGCAGGCTTGGCTTTGGCAAAATTCCCATCAACATCAAATAAATTTCCTAAAAATAACATTAGCAAAGAATGGGTTTGTGCCTCTTTTCCACCATTAAAAAAATGAAAAAAAAAAAAATTAATTATCTGGCAACTGCAGACACTGGTCTATCCACTGCTAGCAATGGATAAGCTGTGGTAAAGTTGCACTCTTCAAATAGACAATCGAAAATGCTGGTCATTAAAAGGTGGTTATAATGAAATGATCCACTTCTCTTTCCAATTTATCATTACAACATTGAATGATTCTATTCTCTTGACCACAACCTCACCTCTTCTGTCCTTCTCTTTGAAATGGTGACTGATTTCAATTTGTTTTGAAGATGAAGGCATTTTAACTGCTCCTCTTTAGGATGTACATTCAGTTCATCACCTTTGCTAATAAAACGTCATGGAAGGTCTTCAAATCGCTTAGGCTCTATAAAAAGGAAGGAAGGAAGGAAGGAATATTAAAAAAAAAAATTAAATCACACCTAGTAGAATGTTACAACACTGTATTCCAACAGTGGTCTCTCATGGTAGCATTTCATATATATTCTGAATGTGGTCACCAGGAGACACTCTTGATCCAAGTAACTGAAAGCATCATCCTTTCCACATGGCCAGGAGAAGGTGGCACTCTTGGTGCTCTCATGAACATTAAACCCTCAGTTCAGTCATGATGAAAACAACCAAGAAATACATCTGTTCAGCAATTAAAAGATTTTGCTGTGGTTACAGTGGTTAGACATGCTGACCATAAAACACTGCAGTAGCAAGCAAAAATGCATGTTGACCACAGTTATGCTAATCACAGAGATTGCCACAGCTCTGTTAACTCTTAATTGTAGATATATAATTGTTTCATAATCCTAATACACTCAATTCCCTACTACTAGTATTTTAACTTCTGATTTCTTTTACGTTTTCATTTACTTCAATGGATTATATTTAACCAATTGTAATATTAAATGGAGGATGCTGATAGAACCTCTATTTCTAGAATATTAGTTAATGTTACAGTGCCTACATTCCACAATGCTTTGATAAGGCCTTATTCATTAAGAATTTCAATGTAAATCACATTCAAAGTATGACTTGAAACAAAACAGCCTACAAGCCAATATTCTGTTTATTAAAATGACTGTATGAAAATTTGTGCCCAATACATATGTAAGTATAGATCATGTTTAATGATTGTAGACAGAAGACATTTAGCTTAATTTTTTCCATATAATATTTCTACAAAGTATTTAATGGAGAAGCTGAATGTGAATCCTGTAGATTGTTTAGGTTCACTTGCAGTCTGAATATACAAGAAACAAACAAAAACCCCATGAAAAACCAATCACCAACCTGATCTTCAACCTTTCATATGTCATTTCTGAGTAAGGAAAATATTGTGGAGAATAAAAAATATTAGTAATCTTGTTTCAGAGAGTTAATGATGTATATTGCTCAACAATTTTTAACAATCTTCAGTGCTCTTCTTGCTCTGTGCTAGATCTGTGAACCCTATTGCAGTAACTTTAAAAAATTACAACCTTCAAAAGCATTTTTACAAGTATTTTCATATCTGTCCATATTTTTTCCCTTATCAAAATGAGAATCCTTAAAGTCTGTAACCTTTCCAACTGTCCAAGTCAATTCATCTTTTCATCCATCTCTGTTTCAATTTTTTTCCTGAAGTTCTCTTCCATTTCAATAACTTGTGTCACTCCAACCACAATATAGGAAGAAAAACAAACAAACAAATTACAAACCTTGGTAAAGCTGCCTTTCATAGACCATTTCATTCTGACCTCTTTCCCTAATTTCCAAAAGAGCTGAAGATAAATCCAGCAATAGTATTTGTTCTACTGAAGGATCTCATTAAAAACACTAAAATCATCCTCCTGAAAAATCTCCTTGTTTCCACTTCATTCTATTCCTTCAGTATCTCTGCTGCTCTCCTGACCATTTTGAATTAGCTTTTCTCATTACCTTTAAGGGGACTATGACTTCAACCTCATTATTTTTATATTCTTCCAAAACGCACTGTTTTACCAGGATCATCTACTATATCTGAGTATTTTCCCATTATACCCAAACTGTTCTCTATCCTGCTGCCCCTGGAGCATCCCAAAACTCAGGTCATGACAACAATCGGGAGGATGATTTTAGTTTAATGTTTCTAGTCCGGAATTTTCTTTCTTTGCGAAACACGTCTCGATATTGTTGTCAGTTAGAAATAACTCTTTTAAAGAAAGTGGATCTGTACCTTGTAGAAATACTGCCCGACTGAGTATCAACTGCTCTCCACTGCAGCTGTGAAACTGTTGTACCAATAGCTCAAAGGATTTGACCCTCTACAGTATTTTACCTTGCAGTTCCACAGATTAACATATTTCATATTATAAATCATGAAATCCTGAAAACTCAGTCGTTAATTAAAGCAAATAAATATACCAATGGGATAAAAAGTACACTCCTAGCAGTTTCAGGGTCCCTGGTTCTTCTAAGCAGATTGCACAATTCCTTTGTTAAACTGGCTATATTAAAATTCTATAGAAACAAAACTGTCCTGTAAATGTTTGGCAGGAAGCTCAACTTCAGCATCATTAGATGGAGCGTGGTTTCACATTTTGGGCCAACTGAAGTTCAAAGATGAACATGGACAAATTATATGGGTTTCAATAGGTAGAAACCAAAAGTACATGATAATTAACTCAATAGACAAAAAAAAAATCAAGATAAACAAAAAGTACTAAAACCTGCTGTGTTGATAAGTATGTTACATGCCATCTAAACTAGAAATTTTGGATTTTACAGTTATTCACATTTAGTAGACACGTTTCGAACATTCAAATGATTGGAAATCAGAAAACCATTGTAGCCATTCTCGTGTAACAAAAAAAAGACAGAACACTCACTCATCGTTCTCAAAAATGCACCTTTCACTGTGAATATTAGAAACAATGTCTTCAAATACCAGTTTAAATCCTGTGCATGTGTTTCCATTCAGCTGCTGCCAGGAAAGCGGCACAAGCACTTGACGTTTGTTGTAAATTACCAAAAAGTGGCACATGATTTAAAATGGAACAGTTCACTTATCGCTTTCTACTTAAGAACACAAAAAGCCATGTGAAACCTGTCTCCCCTGGAATTTACATTCTACATAGCTCACCCTATGAAAAATTAGATATGAGCTACTAACAGGAGAGCTGCTTTGGCAGGGAGGATATAGGTATTACACCAAAAAAGGGGAGGGAGGCAAAGCAAAGCAAAATGTAGAAACAGAACAACACGGGAAAAAAGGAATGGAACAAAAATCTAATGTCACAAGTGTTATTTAGCATGCTAAAATAACAAGCAGCAGGTAGCAGTAAGAGTTTACAGGGATATCTTGTGCTTCCACCTCATTAGGCTAGGATACTTTATAAAGCTCTACTGCAGTTAGGATTCCTACTTACAAGGAAGTCTCCTATTTCCAAGCTATTACCAAACCACCTCTGTGTGGACATGCAGTTCTCCAAATAAATGTGAGAGGAAGGATACAAGAGCTGTATAACTAAAACCTATACAGAGTCTACCATGCAATTGCATGTTCTGATGTTGTTTTCATAAAACTGCTCTTTTATAAAGAAAATTATTACTTACAGTAGCCCTCTAAAATAATTTCCATAAACATATGAACACAAGTCAAATCCTAATGTCAGAACAAAAGAGCCAAACCTGCCCTATTTCATCAAAGACTGATAAAGTGAGGGGGCATCAGCACATTTAAGGCAAAGTCCCATCTTGAAATCATCAGGAGTGTCTTTCAATAACCAGACAGCTGAGTTCATTCCTCACAATCTGCTTTGGATAACTTTGCAGGTAAAATCATGTAAGACCTGCTATACCCTTCTGAAAAAAAAAAAAAAATTAAGACTAAAAATTCTTACTCTATTTGGAGTAGCTTGAGAGAAATGGTACATTTTCATGTCCTCAGTATTGACTTGAAATCAAGGACTGGGTATACTTTTTTTCCATTTAAGCAGGCTTACGTAATGAGAGTACAGGAATGTACTGACCAAATTGCAATTATCTCTTGAAGCTTGAGAAATTTTCCTCCCACTGCTGAAAGAGCACTGCTTTTCTCAACCAGTTGTTAATGGACCTTGATCAGTTCCACATTGTCCTGAACGTTTAGCCTTTGAAATTAAAAAGAAATGCATCATGAGCTTAAAAATACAAAATGAATTACATTATTTTTGTTTTGAAAAGTTGAAATATTTTGCAAATCAGTTTTCTACAGCATGCTTGGGGAGAAGATTTAGTGTGCAAGACCCACATTAATTTCTTATTGTATAATCCACATTACAGAATTTATGTAAATGAACATGATGACTCAGCAGCTTCAACCAATACATCGACATCTTTGACTATTGTATAAAACTGTACATGACAGGAAATGAAAAAAGCTCCATACCTAAACAGATGATTTGTTTTCCATTCACTTTTCCACCTTCTGAAGTATTTGGTGTAGTAGTATACCATTTTATGGAGTTTCCTCTAGGAGTTTAAATCTACCAAATATTGTTAAGAAAAAGTGACTTAGCAATTTATACTATAACACCTTAAGGCTGATACTCAAACAAGCTGCTGGTTTGTCTTAACTACATGAAAATAACTTAATATTTATGTAAATATTGTTACAATGCTAATATTACCATTCTAAGATCTGAGAATGTACTGTTTAATAGAAAGGATAATTAAAATCATTCAAAATTTAAAGAAATATTTATTTAGATGTTTGCCCTTACTTCAAACTAAACTCCATTATTTTCACAATTTCTTCAGGTATGTGAAGAGAAACTGATTCTGATCTGTGTTATTATAAATGACTATAAAATCAGAATCTTTAACACTTGAAAAGGTAATTTCTCTTTCAATATTTATCTCTTTTAGTCATATTGGATGAATTGTCACAATGCCACGCTGGAGCAAGACAATGGACTACAAAGCTTCCACATCTGTAAACCAGCTGAGTACGTGAAATACTTTCCTTTTATACTTTAAAATATCAAATGCTATTGTGTTTTGGCATTGCCAGTTAATTGTCCTTACTCAGAAAATAAACAAACTCACAAATTTGAGACCTTCCCAAAAAACAGGCCTAACTCAATGCTAAAACTATCATGTGTCTAAAACATGTCATCTACATAAATTAAAGTTGTGGTGAGTATAGACAGCAGCGACTGTCTCATGCTAGCTATTTAAAAGCTAATGTAGTGGCACGTTTTTATTAATCTTGTTCCACACATCAAACAAAAGGCTCTGATGCCTTCAAAGGCTTTTTTTTTCTTTCTTTTTTCCCCCCTTCTTTTTTAAGAAGGGGGTTTTTTTTCTTTTTAAGTAGAAGAAGGAGCAGATGATAGTGAAATTTATGATGTACAGATGTAAACTCCCTGGCTCCTGACATTCAACATTAACTATTTTTTCAACAGTGAATGAAACAGCATTTGATTTAAACAGGTTTGCAATACTGATACTATGGAGTAAATTATTCAAATTCAGAAGTGAAAAATTACTTTTTATTTGAATCATTTCAATTCTTATGGCTGTAAGAGTATTTATCTCATTAAATTTCTAGCTACAGAAAGCATGTGCAATTAATTCCTTATTAGTGTCTTACATCAATCACAATCTCAGCTCTCACTATATTATTTCTGTACAGTACTTCTGCAGTACTTTGCTTATTTATTTAAATAAAATATGTCTAAGAAATGTCCACTGCATCTAGGTACATGACAAAGAGACTGCTGTTGAAGTATGAGATCTCTTCAGATTTTTTGGGCAAGGCAAAGTTAATTGGGGAAGATTCTGTTCGGGAGGTTAATTTTTCTATAAATTAAGTCACAAAACAGTAGAATGGAATAGCAATTGATGATCTACACAGCATTCTGCTTCCCAGGTAGGTGTTATATTCTGCTCCCAGAACATCTGCCCAGGCCTTCTGATATAACTTAAAAATAGGGGTTATATTCAGATTTAATATAAATTCAATGCAACTTTTCACTTTAACAAATAATATTTCCCTCAAACTAATGTGTAAGACTAAAGTTGTACTGAGATAGCTCAATCAATACTTTCTTTATTGCCCAAAAACCAAAACAATTTTGCCACAGAAGCTGGAGACATGGAGGTAGAGCTGGAGCACAAGTCAGAGAAAGAAAAGGAACCAATATCCCTTTGGAGACTGTAACATGAATTAAATGTGCCTACTGATCTAGCTCTAGCATGCCTTCTACCACAACTGCAAAAATAAGGAACATGACTCTATCCTTCCACTTAAACCTCATCTTCAAGCTGGATTTTAAAGTCTGAAATGGAGAATGAAGTTAGGAGAAAGTGACTCTTAAAAAAGCTGAGAATGATGTTTGGGGTTAATGTCTGAAGTACACCAAAGAGATGATCTTTTTTCCAGACCTCTTATCATTTGAATTAAAAGCATAGAGAGTGGGGTCCCAGTAACAAGGCTGGGGACCAGCTGTGTGGGAATGGGGCACTGACAGCAACCTACACCAGAAGGAAATGATTAAAGAAAGGATCTTGACCTGCACTGTACAAATTTATGCCAGTAAATCCCAGATGGCTAAGCTAATAAAATTGAGGTCTAATTAAACCACATCCCTTGCATCTTGTCTTTGCTTCCATATGAGTAGGACTTGGATACAATACTGAGACTACTCCTAAAGAGTCACGACTATTGTATCAACTGGATCGGTGGCTCACAAACTTTCCCTATCCACATTCAGAACAAGAAAAACAAGCAAGTTAAATACATATCACCACCAAACTTCTCAGGATCACTTGCCCTCTGTCTGGCAAAATAAACAAAAGTCTTCTCAGTTAATCGTTCTCAACCACAGATGGACAAGATAACACAGACTCCCAAGCAGAAAAGTAAAGAATAAAACATTAATGTGCAGTACTTATTTTACAATGCTTAAAAATTAACAAGATTATATATCATACCCTTTACCTCTTATTTCTTATAGAAGTAAAACGTGCAGATAGCGAATACCTGTTTCACAAATGCATTCTGGGATGTCTTCAAAAAAGTTTTTGGAAAGTACCATGAGCTATTAAGTTATTTGAAGCTACCTGCTTACCAAATGATTTGATTTAGAATTAATGTTTTACCTTGAGCACTGTGTCTAAGAGACATCAAACCAAACAGTTATGGTTTTAGACATCTTTACATTAAAAACAGTAAACATAAACACAAATAACTTTTGTACTTAATGTGTTAAGTCTAATAATCCACAGGCCAAGTTTCTCCCTTAAGGCAGAACTAAATATTCCTGAAAGAATTCCCAAATGATATCTAATTAAAGATGGAAAAAACCATTGCATCCATGTTCCAATGATCATTTCAAGGAGTACAGTGCATATGAACTCAGCTCTGTTATGTAGCTCATGTGGTGTTAGACAGAAACTACAGTGAAAGGCAGCTTTAAAATATTACTGGATTTCTTGTGGGTAGAGGACTCAACAAGTCCTTACTGTTGATGGATCAAGGATTTACTGTGGTTGCTTTGCTACTTGGAAACGACAGTTATTTCAATCACAAGAACCCTCTCAACCATGGAGCAGAAAAAAGAATGTTTTCCTCAAGACTGATAGTAACCTAATTTTGTTAACAGCAGGCTGATATCAAGTGGTGGTACAACAAAAAGACTGGTGGGAGCACAGTTATGATGCCCTTTTGGCACCACAGAGTTCCTAAAGAATGTCAACAGTGTCTTTGGGTAGTTACATAATTAGATGACAGCCAAGTATATTCTTACAAAACACAAGGAAAAGTTGCCAATCATACCAAAATTCAAAGTCATTAAGATACAATGATGAACTAAGATGACCTTACTGGTCACCCAAACTTCCCATTTTTCCTCCAGTATTCCAGTATTGACAGTTTCTTCTCTGCTGATGCAAAGAAGATTAAAAATTACATAGAACCTATAAATCTATTTTTGCAATAAAGCAGCTAGTGCAGACTGTTCTAGACAGCAGGTACAAGACTTTTAAGAAAGCAAGCTAATGAAAGTCTCCTAAATAGGATATGTATGTACCTATGGGTACAGTTAAACCTGGAGAGAAGATGCTTAATGTTTTGGCTCTGGTTCATTCAGCATAAAAAAATACATACCTTGGAAAACATGGGGATTAACAGTCTTCCATCAAGTATTCTAGTAGAAAAATTATAGAACACACACTATTCTACATATGTACATATGTACTAGTGTACATTTTTCAATTTATTTCTTGTTTCTTCAGTCAAACACAGTAACTCCTGAATACCAATATATCTTTTATCAGCTTTCAAAGGGACTATAAAGGAAATAATTCCAGAACTTCAAACATGAACTCACAGATCGTAACTCTGGTCAAGTATCATGGATCGCATATAAGTACTTTCATAAATACAAATAATGATCTGCACTACTTTTAAAGGAATTTGTAGATGAATTTGAAGTGTATCTTAAAAACTTTTTTAAAAAATTACAGAAATATGGTAGTTGACAATGAATTTAGATGTTATCTTCAGTTTCTGCCTGCTATACTTAAAGAACAGTGTTTATCTACAGAAAATGAAGAATTTTTTCGAAACAGATTACTTTCAAATAATGAAAAAATCTTTTAAATATTTTCTGAATCCACTGTAGGCGCAGACTGAGAAATTATTTATGATAACAACTTCTTTAACCTATTTAAACTATATAAAGGAAATTCTGAATAGGGGAGACTTATGACTTTGTGAATAATTTAATAGTAAACATTATGATGTATTATTTATGCAGCACCACTGATGCACAAAAGAATGCTCACACATAATAACGGGGTCCCTCCCTTGAACAGCAGTTAAAGAACTGACCACACACTTCTCATCCAAGTAGAACTTTCACAAGGAAGGTGGATCATGCAGTATCAGACCCTTAATGCAACTGAACGTAACAGTCTGAAACTGAAACACTCATAAGGGGGAAAATACATGCAAAGTTATATAGTTTTGCATGTATTTTTTTCAAAAGTGAAGGAAGAGGAGAAAGAAAAGAGGTTAAACTAAAACAGGCTTTATTGTGAACCCATTCTGCAAGCATGTTTGTCTGACTTTGCTTCACTACACAGCTATTCCTTCAAAAACTTGCTAATCTGCCTTTACAGGCCCAATATTTCTCTCCTATTTGTAGTCTTCAAATTATTAATGAGCATTAGTAAGCATTAAACTGCCTGGTATGAACCTATATCTAATTTTTTGTAAGCATCATACCGAAGAACGAATAGATAATTAAAATTTGATGACTTGAACTTCAACTGAATCTGTAGGAGCTGGAAAGGAATTCTCTAAAATGGTAATTATGAGCTTCTCTGTTTATTTATGAAAAAAACATTATGATAACTTATTATCATATCAATCTCCCTGCTTAGAATGGATACATGGATACAGGGCTGTTTGGTAAAACATTTTATGAGTTAGTTTCACCAAACAGAAGAAATGAATAAAGCACATATTCCTTGACAGAAGAATTAATTTCCACAGCCACATATAAACATTATGACATAGCTCTTCTCATGTTTCCACCATGGAGATTTCCATTTTTCACAATACCTTTGGCTTGCTGTTCTCTGCTCTATCAGCCATAGGATGGATTCTTCAATTTCCTTTTCTTTCCTTCTTAGTTGACTCACAAGTATCTCTGACATGTTCTAGTTCCTCAATGTGTTTCCTTTGGGACTCAACCACAGTCTCCCTGTAAGTACAAGCATCTGACATTCCAAAACCAGGTACTTCATAAAAGTAAAAAATTCAATGAATACTCAAGAGAGCAAAAATTGTAGGTGTTCAGCAAAATTTGTTGTTCTTAATGACATGCATTGCAGCAGAGGTTTAAGAGTTTATGAAAACGCAACACAGACTCTACACTATATTAGAAGTATCCTCCTTCTAATCCATTTGTACCAAGTGTTTTCTGAAAAGCAAAACACCATTAGCAGCTATCAAAGATTATGAGATCTTCAATGGATGGAGCAGTGAAAGTAATTTTTAAGCTGTTATTCTGACAAGTAACTTGACATGCTAGAAATCAGATTACATGTCTTTAACAGTGGGATTTATCCAGAAAATGCCATTAAAAATAATTTATAAGTGTATTTCTGTACAATGATTTCCTATGGTCCAAGTAAGTCTTGTGTTCACAAAACTTCAAGCACAAAATACATAATTGCACATAATTGTCATGTATTTGTATACTTAGCTTGGAGTCTGCACAGGATATCTTGGATCTGGATCTATTCTTATGCCAAGAAAAGTCCTCACAGTGTGCCATATCAACATTTGATCTTTATTCCTTGAATCGAGTTGCCCTCTTCTCTTTGTTAACACTGGGCCTCAATCAATTTCTTATAGTTCTACCCTATTTTTGCATTGTTAAAACAAAAACCAAACAAATTGATTTGGTGAATAAAACTGCCTAATTAATGATATGAAGTATAAAAATGTAGGTGTATTAAAAGTGTCAAAACTTGTACTACATATAAATTAAAGAAGCAAACTGGAAGAGACAACCACTTTTTACTGTCTGTCTAAAAACATGAGAATTGTTTTTGTTTTCATATGCCTAAATAATCAATGTAATGAAAATAAAGACCAATGTGAGGGTGAGATGGAGGAAAAAAACACAGCGTAACTGGCCATCAGCCTGATCCATAACTTGTGGAAGTTAAGGAAACAATTCTGCTGGCTCAGGTTTGAATCACAGTTGTAACTCTTTGGTTTGGGTTTTTTTACATATTATCAGTTCAGCGTATAAGTTAACTGACTACAAGTACTTCTAGAAGTTTTCCTATGAAAATAGGAAGATTTTAAAGTGGCATTACCAAATGTAGCTACCATAAGTAGAGGACTGAGAGAGGAACTGCCTTAAGCAGTAAGTCTCAACAGTAAAAAGCATCATTATAGATGGCTGCAACGTAGGATTTGCTGTTCAAAGTCCCCACGTGCAATACATTTTTCAGATCTGCAGTGTTGTGCACACATGTATCAAGAGACTAGAACAAACCTGGAAATTAAAAAAGGAAAAACATGTGCAAACAAACTACAGATGTGAAACTTTGTTATAACATGACAACATTAAACTTTTTCATATACTACTTTTATAACCCTTTAACATGCAGAGAAGTTACACTAAGGAAGTCCCATGATTTTAACTATTAGAAAACTTGCTTGATAAATCTGTACTTTTGTTTAACCCCTACTACTGGGGATTCTCCTAATAAGGACTTCAAAGGCAAACAAGTTATCATGACTGTTATAAATAAATACAAGAAAAAAAAGGAAAGAACAATCTTTCTGTCTACAGGTACTATTACTGCCCACTGATGAACAGAAAAAGAGTATGGACTTGCTACAGTGCAGCAATCATTAGGGGTACCGATAAAAACCCCTGCTTTTAATAAATGTGAATTACACCTTTCCAGCCTGCCAGCAGCCTCACTCACTTTTTTGAGACCAGTGTTAACAAAAGATTGAACACAGCTGTGTGGACAAGGCCTACGGCCTCGAATCTGGAGCTGCTGGTCAGTTGAAAGCAGTTTGCTGCAGAGGCTCTCGTTTTGTCTCTCAAGCCCAGGAACTCTTTCTGCAAATGCTCAATTCTTCCTCCCAGCTGCAGCCCTGACCCGGCCGCTTGAGGCCGCCACCAACCTGCTCTGACTCTTTTTTTATCATTAACAAGCTGTGTTAACTCGGTGGTCATTCTGGGGAAAATAATAAAAAAAGATGAAAAAGAATGTGAAAAGTCAGCATAAAAAGCATTCTGTTGAAAGGAACATAATCACTGTGAAGACTTCAGCATAGAACCTGAATAATAAATTTCAGGTTTTGATATAACTATTACTGCCTGTGAAGAACTCTTTGAAGATAATTGAAACCACTGTGCAGCAATCTGCTTTATAGCACTGACAAATAACAGTTTCCTAAGGCTTATCATTTAAGGTTAGTAAAGAGAGGACACATATTTACTCCATATGCTGCTTAAATGTAATTTTTAACGCATGACCTTATATGGGAACCTCTGCATGCTGTTGTTAAGTAAAGTTACAGATTTGGGATGTGGTGGGGCAAACTATAAAAGATAAAATTTCACAAAACATTCAACTATTCAAAGAATGCTAATAATATGTAACATTCCAATGGTACATAATTTCTACTAATTTAGGATTTAAATATATATTTCATTTCTAAAGTGGCAAAATACAGAGGTGTATTTAAGCAGGTACTTAATATTTAAGCAAGTACTTCAGAAAAAGATATTTAATAGTTCTCATTACCATACTCAATTTTATACTTGGTAAATACTACCAATGTGCTTCAGAGAAGGAACGGTTAGCTGAAGAATATAATTAGATACAGAGGGTATGGTTTTCATCTGTCCTTAAAAGAATACAAATTTTGCTCTTGGCATCTCAAGAGTTGTACCTTTGATTTCCCTTAGTTTTGATAAACATTGGTAAGCTGGAACAAAAGGCAGAGAGGGCACATGGAGGTGATGTAATATACATGAACAGAAAACATACCCAGCGGTGAACAGAAAAAACTTGGCATATAAAGAAAGAAAAGGTGGCTTTGATGAAAGAGACAAGTTCAAGACTTTACAAAATCGGTCGCACATCTTCAAGACCTGTATCTAGTTTACAGGGAATCTATTTTTGAAGGCCCAGAAAGAAAACTGAAAATAAGGACACACTTCATTTGTTTAAAGAAGGCTTGTTTTATTTTTTGTATACTTCTGGACAGAAGCTTCTACTTAAAAGAAAAAAAGTGAAACAAAAAAAATCCATAATACCTTTAGGATGTCACAGAATGTTACTTGCCCGCGAGCAGGTTTTTTGGTGGTTGGTTTTTTTTTTCCAATGTTCTTCTACTGCAAATTCATTCCAAACTTCTAGTTACAAGTGTTTTGGCATGAGAGATGCTGGAAAAGAAATTTAGCTAGAGGAGTTAAGATCTTTGTCTGGCAACCTAGACAATTTTCTGTGCCGTAAGTATTAATTCAGGTATTCCAATGTGGACATTCCGTGTAACGTTACCTAAGTGGATGATGAGTGCATTTGGTAAGTCATCTAACAGAAACACAGGAAATGCCATTTGGAATAAGCAAACAATTCATTTGTTCCACCATCTTGTATTTGACAACAGTCTGACAGAAAAGATGGAAGTTATGTTATGCTGGTCAATTTGTTCCTGATGCACTGAGGCAAAAGGAAAGAATGTTTTGGACTTTATTAAAGTACAAAATGGTCCCATCTACAGAGGCAATATTTTCAGCTGCTCTTTTATGGATCTGGTTCACTTCTGATCAGACCTCACTTGGATGCAGTAAGGATTTATTAAGTAAGCACAATGTGAGCACAGAGTGCTGGTGCTTTCAGATTAATTAGCCCTCCCGCAATATTGTCATACCTTGAACAGTTCTGCAGAGCCCAGATGGGTTTGCCAGTGCAGCACTAAGTTTAGTAATAACTCTGAAGTTGCTTGGGTACCTTTGGGCACACTGGGCACTCTGCTCCCCATGCTACCTGGGACTTCTTCACTGAAGTTATCTGTTACACTGAATGAAAGAGAGCTGATTATAAAGGTATTTTAGAGCCAACTAGACAATCACAGAATCAACCAGGTTGGAAAAGACCTCCAAGATCACAAAGTCCAACCTGTGACAGATCTCCACCATGTCAAGCACACACCTCCAGGGACAGTGACTACACTGCCTCCCTGGGCATCCCATTCCAATATCTCATCACCCTTTCTTTGAAGAAATTCCTCCTAATGTCCAACCTAAACGTCCCCTGGCACAGCCTGAGACTAAAGGTTAGATGCCAGTCTACTTCCTGAAGGCCAGAGAAGTACAAAAAAAGGGGTAGGATCTCTCTGTATAGATTGTTTTAATTGTTGAATGAAATTCTGGATGAATCATTAGCCTTCTGTAGCCTCTTCTTCAGCTCCCTGAACACCTGTTGTACTCTGATGGCACAGCTCTGGACCCAAGGTACAACTCCAAAGTGATAGACAGTGCTGTACTTCTGTACATGAAGATCTAATACCCACAAAAAAAATCCACCACAGCAAAAAAAAAAATCTTACACACACAGAGATAACCAGAAATCAATACAAAAATGAATTCCAATGAGTGATTTTTGCTACTGCTTTAAAATGTGCTCTGAGAGAAATCAGCATGATTTTTAATTATTTGATAAGGCTTTAAAGGGCAAGAAATGTTACTGTAAGCTAAAATAAAAATGTGAAACTTCATACCTTTTAATTTTCTCCTCTTGCTTATTTGCATGTTGCTTGAGTAAGATGTGGTCATCATGTATACGAAGAAACCTGTCCTCCAGTTCTTCTCGAATGATTTGTTGTACAGCTTGTAGAGCTTTTACGTTCTGTGAGGTTGATGATTCTACTCAAATCAAGACAACTTTAAATTACCTTCAATATATTCAACAACATGTAGTTCAAAGCCTAAACCATTTTGAAATACTGAAAAAAGAAACTTTTCAAGTAATAATATACTTTTCACTTACATGAGTCTGTTGATTAACTTCTTCAGATTTATTGTCATGTTAATCAGTTCCTCTTACAGATTAAAAAAGGCAATTAAAATGATACAACAAACTGTTTACCTATTAGACAACACAAAGCTAACAATTTAGCAAGTAACCAGGTTCTTTAAACCAGGTTCCTTAAAAATAAACATTACCAAAGAGATGCTTTCTAATCTGTTTCAAAGTTACCATACACTCTTGAAGCTTGAAGAGATTAACTCATAATTCTGCAAATTTACTCAGACACAAGATTAAGCCCAGTTGTTCCATTCTAAGAGTGGTCTGAGTAACATATCAGAATTGGATAATACTTTTGGTTCCCATTTTGTTAAATGGATCTGGCCTTGTCCTCAATTCAGCAAAAAAGTCCTTTTTTTCTTCTGGAAGGATGTTATAGCTCAATGACATTTCCAGTTTTTAGCATCTCACAGCAACTCCCCTCTTATAACAAGCAACTTGAACATAGAATGGGTCACAGCATCTTTCAGAATTTAACCCAGATTTTGAATGGTATTTGAACTTAATTTTGTGAGTGGCAACATCAGAAACATTTTTAGAAAGGAACTAAAGAAGCCACTGATCAAAGTCTGTAACTGTAATAAATAGCAGCTGGTACAAACCTTGTAATCCTTCAATTCCAGATGGAGTTAGACCCGTATCTCTCACAGGCAGGTCCCCCACAGTTTCATCAGCTGAAACAGGCATGGCTTATCTGCGGATAACAAAATTCAAATGAAATTCTTCTCCATCTGTTATTTAAACTGTGAGACTTGAATGAACTATAATACATCATACAAAATTAAAGAAAAAGTTATGGTAGATTGACTGAAATGACAGACTTGAACTCCTATCTCAATTGGATTGCTCAGAGGACAACCTGAACTTTCAAGTTTAATTTTATGCCAATTTTAATCTACTCACAAAATCTGGCTATTTTGGATATGCAATAGTTTCAATTGTATTTAATGGAGGTAGAATTAGCTTTTTAAAGTCCTAGTCCTGCTGTCTTCAGCAATCTTTGGGCTAAGGCCGTATTTTCAAGTGGATGTGGGAAGAGGACCTATGGGGTTTTTTTTGTTTGGTCGGGTTTTTTTAATTGTTTGTTCATTTTAAGACAGGTCAAAGCTTGAGGCATCAGCTGGTAGATGAGTAATGCCATCTTCCACATTTTGAATGGGATTCTTTTAAAACAGAGATGCTGGGGGTTATGAAGTCATTTCAGTGTTGCCTGGCATTCTCTTAGTCTTCTTTCAATCACTGTCATAAGAGAAATTACTTGGTAAGATAGAGACTTTCCTATGAATGATTCTCATAAATCAGAACATATTTCTTTCTTGAGGCAACAGAAAGCTTAGCTACATGACAAAGTGAGGTTAGGAAAGTATTAATGTGAGAAAGTACTACATTTGTTTTGGTGTAATATATGAACACACTTGTTAACAATTGCTGTTTCTTTCTTGTCTTCTGGTGCAGAAAATTACATGTTGGTCACAGAGTCAAGTAATGCTGAAATAGCAAGAAAAGGAGAGACTTTTCATGAAGTATCTGTTAATTTTACCATAATCACAACTGCTGCTAAAGCTATGCCTTTCTTCTACCAAGAAAGTCTTCCATCATTAACATGTCTCCTTATGGCTTTGTCCAAAAGGAACAAAAAGAATTAATGGAAGTTTAGTTTCCCATAAGTAAGTCTTGCTTAGGTTTTTTCATCACTAAAATCTATAATAAAGTATTATTTCCAGCTTTCACTGTTTATAAAAACAGAAACACATTTTTCTTTCATGTGGAACAAACATTTCCTTGTCATGACCATTGAAATGGACTGATCTACACTTTTAGATTAGCAATAGCTTACAGTTTCAATGCTCTCAGTCACAGAAACAGAGAATACTCTGATGCTGATGTCCAGGGCGTGCTGCCACCGCAAACAGTGGCACCAGTGGCAAATATATATCAACTGGAATCCAGCTGGTCGGTGTTCTCAGCTGTTTTTGTATTATTCTCGCAATTCTCTCAAAATCCTTTTGTTATTTGTTAAACTAGCTCTATCTGCAGTCATTGACTTTGCTCAGGTTCAGGTTCATTACTGGGGTCACCATTACATGTCACTGTATCAGTATCACCACTGCAACTGAGATGAAAGAGAACCAGAAACCTTTACCTCCAAATGATCATCCAAATTTGGTTCACGATGGTAGCAAGGAGCAGATGTTACCATCATATGTTTTTCTAGAACGTGGTTGCCTTTGCTTTCACAAATCAAAAATTACAGGGGTTTTTCTGGCAAGTTTCAGACATCAAGAGCTAAACAAATATTTTATCAGCATGACTCCACAATGTTTGTAATCCATCAAAATGAGGCTTCACAAAGTCTAGGACAATAACAGGCACAGGCAAACATTACTGTTTTCACTATTTGCTACTTGGTAAAGAAACTTTGCTATGGAAATCTACCTGTTACCTTCAATATGAAAGAAATCTATTCATTTAAAAACAGGGACAAAACAACACATGCTTGTCCCTCAAATAAACAAACAAAAAACTCTTGTCAGTAGTAATCCATTACTGGCTACAGCAAAACCACATAAATACTAAAGTTGTAAACAAACTAACATAGCAGAGATGCATACCAAGCCAGTTTTTACTGGCAACATGACATGACTTGAAGTGACAAAATAAAGCTGCCATAAATCTAAAGTGTCCTGAAAACTTAGAAAGGTGAAATTTTCAAAAGTAAAAGGAAGAATTAATTGTTTAATTTTCATTACAAAGTGACATAAATTAAGTACTCAGGTTTTTTTTTCTATCCTGGGCCATAGGAAAAGAAAAAAACCCAAACCATTATTTGTTTTTATCAAAAGGAGTGCTTTTAGATAGAAATAGTACAAATCTCCCTCCTAGTTTTAGGGAGGCAAAATATAATTACAGATTTAGAATTTAGCCTGGCAATTTATTTGCCTGATTAGTAACATAAGAATACCTATGTCTTCAATAATCACTAAAAACTACCATTTATGCTCCTTCTTTGAGAGAGGACACTTCAAACAGCAAAGCATGTGTTACATATGCTACAGTTCCTCTTTGAATATTATCTCAGTGTCAATCACAAACACTTAAACAAAATTACTTTTCCTTGCAGTCCAGTTCCAGCATTATTTCCAAAAGCATGTGAGATTTGGCCACAGAGTTCAGTATTACTTTTGAAAGCATTTCCAGAGCGATTACACATGACAAAACTGTACAGCAACACTGCTACAGAAGTGATGGTACTTAAGAGTCCAGCACTTCCTAAAAGAAAGCATAGCAAAGCAAGAGAGGTATACATTTGTATTTGCTTCTGGACAGATCCACATGCCATGATCAACCTCAAACATTTAAAATGGTTTTTATTTCCAAGAAAGATTACCCTACAGTTACTTCAGCATGTCTCGTTCCTCAAAAGTAAAAGAACTTCACCTACAAAGAGAGGAAAATTTTCTGAATCTCTGGGATTAACCTACAAGAACTTTAAAGTAGGTGTAAGTAAGAATTTTAGATACAATTACTGAAGTCAAAGAAATCGTAACTTTCTTAAACACTGTGTCACTTACAAACCTGTTCTATCCTCAGTTGTATTTGCTGTGTTATGCAAGGCCAGACAGTAATGAGATGGATACTGAAAATTAAGTATCAAAGCTCATACTTTAGGTTCAAATTGTCTCACAGAAGTATATTGTTGTCCCAACATCATTCAAAAGTAGCAAAACTGAGGAGGGATTACTTAAATTTTCAAAAGTTCTCAGCCAGTGGGGATAGAAGGGACTTCCAGTAAAGGGATTTCTAGTGAAATATTAAAAATGATGACTTAATTGTTTCAATATGGTTTGTGAATTTCACAAGTGTCAGACATGCTTTTCTTACAAAAATCCTACTTCACTTTTCTGGTAGAGGAAAGATAAAAAAAAGGTGCACAGAGAGACCACCCACCTATCTTAGCCTATCACAAAGTATTTCCAGCCTATATTCTCGCTCTATTGAGTTCTTAAAAGATAAATATTTGCAGTCTATTGGCCTTGTCATCTAAAATAATGTCATTTATTATTTGGTAGGACTATACACACATATCATCTTTCTAACATCATCTGTTGCAGTGCTGTGAGTTTTGGGAGGTGGAGAGGAGGGAAAAAATAAAAAAGGAAGAGACGATATGGAAGATATCAGGAAACGGGATCACAACACCCTGCTGTCGTCTGGGGGAAGAAACATCTCTCAGACCTGCAAGTCCTGCTGGAACAGGGAGAAATCAAAACAACCGTGTCTCGCCTTCAACGTACTTCACAAGTGCTTTCCAAATTTTGGTTCTGGCAGTGACTGGCAGGGCTGGGAGGGGCAGGGTCCCAGGGAAGGCAGGAACGCCCCCACTGCCCGGGATTTCCTCGGGCACGGGAGCGCAGCTCCCGCTGCAGCCCAGCAGCCTTGGCAGGTGCAAAACAGGGGCCTGTTGGGCTACTTTCAATCCAGCGCTGAGGCTCCCCTGCCTTCCCCTGCGGGCACCGAGCTGCGAGCGAGGACCCGCCGGCCCCGCTCCTCGGCCGGGAGGCCTCAGGACACGGCCCCGCAGCCCCTGGGCGGCTCCAGCGCCGCCGTGCTCCCCGCGCCGTGCCCGGAGGAGGAGAAGCTCCCCCCGTACTCACAGCCCCGCCAGCCCCTCCGCTCCTCTCCGCGCTCCGCTGCCAACTCCCGCTGTCGCCCCGCGGCCCCTTCCCCTTCCGGGCCGCGCTGCTGCTGCCGGGACTTGGAGTCCGGGGCGGGGCCGGGCAGTGCCCGCGGAGCGCAGCGAGGCTCCCGCCGGCAGCTGCGGTGCCCGGCACGCCGCTCTGCCCCGGGCGGGCGGCACCATGAAGAGGAGAGCAGGGGAGCGGGAGAAAGAGCTGAAGGTACCTTCCGTTTGCTTCCCGCTCCCCGCAGCCAGCCCTGTCCCCGCCGCTGGAGGGGCTGCTCGGGGCACAGCCCGCCGGCAGCTCCAGCACTGAGCCCCGAGCGGGGGCACTGCGAGGCCGCCGGGAAGTCCGTAGTGAGAAGGAAGCGGCCCCGGCGCTGAGCTCCGTGCGGCGGTCCCGGAGCCCGGGGCGCGGCCCCGTGTGCTCGGCACCGCCCCGGGGCCGCCCGCGGGGAGCGCGGCCGGGGCTGCCCGGGCAGGGCGGCGCCGCCTCACCTGGGAGCCCTGAGACAGGGGGCACCTGGGGCAGCTTCAGCTGTAGATAGGGGTAAAGGCTCCTGCCATCCGGGCAAGGTATTGGAATTTTAAAGAGAGTTCTGTGGTTTCTGAAAAAGAAAAAAAAAATTATACAAGTGGAAGAGTTTGTTTTTGTCGAAAAGCTCACAGTTAGGTGATGCACTATGTAACCGCGCGTTTGTTTTTAAATTTGAAAGTACTCTACACCAAACCTGACCTAAATAAATATTTTTAAGTCTGGTCTACCACCCGAGCTTTATAATGTTTGTTTTCTTGTCCGTGTGTTTAGACACAATGTTATGTGCTTACATTGAAGATGTTATTACACTGTTTGTGAAAGCAAACAGCAGTGCTGGATGTTTTGCTGTTTCACGTGCCTTTGAAGGGCTTGTTTTAAGACATTGTACAATATTTGACTACAACTCTTGATGGTTGTTGTACCTTTCCTGATTTTGTTTACAAAACAGTAGTAGTGAGAAGCAGAAAGTGACTAAAAGCACAATGCTGGTATTAGTGATGCTAATGGTTACTTCAGTTATAAATGGAAGGTTAATTCCCTTATAAATTTAGATTTAGAAAGAGCTTTCAAAAATAGTAATCGCATACACCTGAACAGGGAACATGCTGGCTTTAGTATTGCTGTTAATTTACTATTCAGCATTAAATGTTATTTCATTTTAGGGGCAGGGAACAGGTCTGATCCAACTTTGCAACTATTTAATATAAAACTTTAGAGCCTGTTTGCAGTAGTAAGATTCCCAACAACTTTTTAAGGACTACCTGGTCATTTTGTAATTAATCTTTCTGCCAAGTTGCTGAAGGACAGCAACTTCAGACTTACCTTTGTATTCTGCCCTTTCTATAGATGTCAAAACATATGCAGGTATCCATCCAATCCAATGTAAATACGTTGGAGAAAAAATCTCAACCCATACTTATTTTAGCCTGTACATTTGTGCAGTCCATCCGAGGGCCTCTGTCTTTTCAATAGGTCTCAAATGTATTTGGGAATGGTTTACATTGGGAGAATAATTGCCCTTGATATGATAAGGATAAAAGATTCAAGGATATGTGAAGGGAGTAGGAGGATGGTGCTGTGAACTACACTGGCAAGGGTTGTTTGAGGACAAGGCACCTGAAGAGGTGTCAGGAACAAGGTATGATAAAAACTCTGCTAGAGTGAAAGAGTCCTGCCATAGACGAGTGTAGATGTTACAGGTGCACAAACAAGAAAAGGATGAAAATTAACAAGAGATTCTTACAGAGAATTTAAAGGTGTCAATCTTACAGGATGCCTTGAGGGGACGTTGTAAGTTGGGTACTACTTGGGAGGAGCTTTGAGTATACTGAAAGTGAAACAAAGTGGGCCTGTAGAACATCTTAAAATAAAGGCTGCCAAAGGGGAAAGCAGCAGTGGGAAGGTGGTGGGGGGTTGTATGTACAGGAGGAGATGTATGCTTTTTTTTTCATGGTAGCATGGTGACTTTATTGTAGTAGTTCTGCCAAGACTTCCATTTAGGTACTGATTCAAATATTTTGTAGCAAACCAAATATTAGTGAGGTTAACCCAACCTCTTCTGGAGAGTAAGATTTATGAGGCCTAATGAGAGGGAAGTGGTTGGACAGAGAAGCTGGTTTGGATTATGTATCTCCTGCCAATGTGTCTTGTTTTCCAGAATTAAATTCTAAATAAAAGTTCTTGTTTTACTATAATTGTGTACAGTTAAATGCTGTCTATCAGAATCCCAGTGATTGGCTTTTGCTTTGTAATTATTCAGTTTGTTTCTTATATATGATAAGCTGTTCTTTCTCTCAGATTTTCATGTGTATAGCAAGTTTTGATTTATATTGTTATAGAAGAACATTTCTGTTCCAAGTAAATGTGGTAGAAGTTCTTTAGAGTGCAGTGCTGTCATACAGCAATTTCCACTTTGCAGATCACTCGGTTGGGTTAAGGTTAAATGTGTAGCAGAAATGAAATTGTTTATGCTATTATTTGGTGTTCCAAGCCCAAGTGGGGGAGGATGTAAATTCATTCTTGGGAAAAGGGTCTGAAAAAACTGGGAAACTGTAACTAGGAGTTAATTACTCATCTGTCCTAAACACTGTGTTGGTCATGCAAATGTCCTGTATAATATTTCTCTGAGTCTTAAGTAGACAGCAGAACACAATTACTCTGAAGTTTCTAAAGACACCTTTAGAGCTGTTGCATGCCATCAGCTGGTCTTCCCCATAGCAAATATTACTTCTGTGCATAAAACCAGAGCTGTTAGAGTTGCTCATTAGCTGGAAAGGCATTTTTATGAAATAGTCCATTGAGTTTTTTTCGTGGTGGTTTGTTCTAAATTAAATTCAGCTTTAATTAATACAGCTTATAGGTATTTTTATTCTTTTTTGTATACACTGTTGGTCAGAGTTGGTCACTTTTTACTGGGTGTAGAAAAGGTACCACATAAACTAACACCAAACATAAACCTCCCATTTAGTAATTTAAGTAGACTACTTTCTCCTTTAGACTTGGAAAGAAAGCTGTTTTGCTTTTAGAATGTTTATTACCTTAATTGTTATTCACAGGTGAGTTAAAAAAGTTAATCTTTAACGTAAGGCTGTTCTCAAGAGTTACTTAGCCAAAGTGGGTTTTCTAAAGTAAGTTTCAGTGTGACAAAGGCCAAGCTCTACTGACTTCCTGTAGGTGCTTCCTTTTGCCACTTTTTGCATATTAAGACCCTGAGTTGTTGCCATGTGAAAGAGAAGATACTTGATTAGTGTGGAGTATCATTTTCTGTCAAAGTAAAAATATTACCTTGATGGGTCTTTGGAACAGGCCACTAAGCCCAGTTCACAATTACCTTATGTAGCTGTTTATGCTAATTCACAGTGGAACCAGAACCGACTGCAGAGAATTTATTTCACAGACATTACTGTTATGTTTGTACAGCTCCCAACACAGCTGGGACCCCAATCCAATAATGTTGTTGCTGTACAAATAATAAATGCATCAATATGCACATATCTGAATATTCACAGGGGCTTTTACAAAGTTATTCATGTGCAGTTTCACATTTGTGAGACATGTTAGACAAAGTGGCAAGGAAATATAAAGCTTTAAATAACACAAAACTTTGTATGTATTTTATTTACAGGGGCAAAAAGGGAATATAAAATGTTTTGGCTGAGATTTCAAGGAAAGTATTATTTCCTGCATAATTTTAATTTTTGCTGCCTGAAAAATAATATATATTTACAAGAAAATATAGGTTGCTTCAACATATTATGCTCAGGGAAAATTAGGCAAGTATTCTCAGAGCGTGATGTAGGGAATGGTTTTAGGATTAATGCTGAAAAATGTCACCCATACCGTACAATGAAGTATGAAAACTTTAACATTTTCTTATAATAGTTTGTTCAAATATTAGTTGATTTCTTGTTTCGTTTTATCGTTTTACCTCTTAAAAAGACCTCAAAAAATAATAACTCTAATTGACAGATTAAATAGGTTCTTTTAGAAGTTGTATTTAGGAAAATTAAAGTTAATGGAACATCTTAGATACAGTTAAATAAGCTTCTTGTCATGTCATATTTCTACTTAGGTAAATGGTGTGCAGGTTTTAGCAGAATCAGCAGCCAATATGCCGGTAGCAATTTTTGTGGTAATCACATTATTGGCCCTTCCCATTATTAATGAGACAATAATTAAGAAATAGTGTTGATAGTCACATAACACATGATTTGTATATTGGAAATGGTCAGGTAGAAGCCTTGCATATGCAGAATAAAATACAAGAAGGAATGAGTGGCAAATGTTTCTTGCTTTTAAATTCATCACATTCCTGCTGTTTAAATTGCCTCAGCTGCTAATGCTGGAACCATTACAGTAATGGACTCGGCAAATGAAGGAGAACCAAGACATACACACTTTATTACTGGAGGGGTAATTTTCTCTTCATCTGTAATAGCAGCAGTGCCTAGTATTGATCAGACCATCAAGATACTAATCCTCTGTAAAATTACTTGTTATAACTGAAAATACGTTAATCCAAATCAGTCTGTGTCCTGACTTTCTACTTACGATTGAATACAGGCTATTAGATGGTTTATTTTTTGTGATTTAAAGCCTTTTCATTGATAATAGTGAAGCTTCTTTTGCAAGAGCACGTGCTTAATCTTAGCTATGGCCCAGGGTTGTCTTTTAGTTTTAACTGGAACATCACCCACTTAATTAAGAAGTGCATGTCTATCTTTCTGCTTGGAATTATATTGGTACTTTAGGCTCTGCAGATTTATTAAACATGTTGTTATACGTTCAGTCACTTGTTTTTGCTGTAAATAAGAACAGATCCGTGCTTCACATACTAGAATCTTCAAAGATCTTGGAGCTAAGGAAGTGAGGAGAATGGCTAGTCAAAGCAGTAATTCATGTTTTGTGGATTGTGGCCTGTGAGGGTATTGTGGATGAGAGTAACGTAAAAGATGCCCAATGCCAGGGGTCTGAAGGTCTTCTGTTTACTTTGATCTTAGTGATCCACCACATCAGACAGTGGTATGGAGAGCTGTGCGTGTTCTGTATCTGTTTATGGGATGGCTCCGTTTTCCTTTTCCTCATGGCTCTTACTTGTATAGCCTCTAGTCCAGTAAAATTTTGGCTGGGTTGCATCCAGCGGTTCAATGGCTGTTCTGGGTGCACGATACCTTGTAGGGCAC